ATTTAAGAAAAACATTTTGGCGCAATTTCGGCAACGTCGTGTTATTGTGTCAAGTTCTTTACATTTTTTTCTGATATTTTGAAAATTTTATGATACAGACATGCCAATACACAAAAGACGTTTGTGTTTTATACGCTATTTCCAGTTCTTATTGATTGTTACTGACGTATTGAGATTAAAATTGAAATTATTGCTGCTGCTTTAAGTGATCTTCTTAAATATTGTTTAAATTAACAATAAATAAATAATTTATCAATTTAATTTTAACTATTTGTGCGAACGCTGTGTTTGCCAATTAGTAATTTGATAATGTCACCTCAAATTTTTCATAATAAAATCGCAACTAAATTTTATAAAATAATGTATTACTGTACTGATGGTTTATGAATCCGTCTTGAGTTTTTACCTTCATCATCCAATTTAAACAACTTCTACAACTCGAAATCTGCAAGAAATATTTTTAGATAACTTTAGAAGAGTTTTCCAAAAACGGTAAAAAAATTCATACGGGAGAGTAGATTATGAAAAATAGAGATTTTTGAAAAATTGCCTAAAAATCCCCAAAAAATTCTGTGATATAATTTCAGCGATATGAGGCCAAAAACAAAAAATGTTAATGGTTCCGGGTTAAAAGTTTCGAAAATTCGGTGCGAAAATGATTTTTTTTTTCCAAAATTGTAAATCGTCGATTTATTGACTCTGAAAAATTATTGGAATATTCGAAAAAATTAACCCGAAAATAACTTCAAATAATTCGGTAATTTTCGAAGAGTGCTTCAAAAACGGTCATAAAAATTCATACAGGCAGGTATCGAAAAATTGAGATTTTTGAAGAGCTGCCTAAAAATTCTCAAAAAATTTTTGGATATAGATTTCGACGATCTAATTCGAAAAACAGACAATGTTAATAGTTCCGTTTCAAAATTTTCGGCAATTCGGTCTGAAAACGATTTTTTTTCCGAAAATTATAAATTTTTATTTTATCGACTCTGGAAAAATTCTTGCAATTTTCGAAGAAATAAAGCCGAAAATAATTTCGAAGAATTCGAAATCTACAAGTAAATATCTTTAGGTATCTTTTGAACAGTACTCCAAAAACTGTCAAAAAATTCATACGAGAGAATATTGAAAAATTGAAAATTTTGAAAAGTTACCCAAAAATCCTCAAAAAAATTCTGGGATATACAAGTAAATTTCGACGACCTGATTCGAAAAACATATAATTTTAATGGTTCCGGGCCAAGATTTTTGATTCTTGGAACCTTTTTTTTCAGCAATTATAACTTTTCATTTTATGGAAAATTTCTTGGTGTTTTCGAAGAAATGAAGTCGAAAACATGACATTAAAGAATTCGAACTCTACAAAATATCTTTCAATAAATTTCAAAGAGTGTATCAAAAACTGTCACAATATTCATACTGGAGGATGTTGAAAAATTGAGATTTTATAAAAGTTGACACAAAATCCTTAAAAAACTTATTGCTACAATTTGAAAAGCAGAACCTATTAATGGTTCCGGTCCAAAATTTTCAAAAATTTCGCCCACATTTTTTTTTCGAAAATTATAAATCGTCATTTAATCGCCTCTGGAAAAATTCTTGGAATTTTCGAAAAAATAAAGCCGAAAATAACTTAGAAGAATTCAAAATCTGCAGGTAAATATCTTTAGGTATCTTTTGAACAGTGCTCACAAAACTGTCAAAAAATTCATACGAGAGGGTATTGAAAAAATGAAATTTTTGAAAAGTTGCCCAAAAATCCTCAAAAAATTCTGGAATATATAAGTAAATTTCGTCGATCTGATTCAAAAAAATAAAATTTTAATGATTCCAGACCAAGATTTTCAATTTTTGAAAAACTTTTATTCGAAAATCATAAATTTTCATTTTACGGAAAATTTCTTGGTGTTTTCGAAGAAATGAAGCCGAAAACATGACATCGAAAAATTCGAATTCTACCAAACGTCTTTTAGTAATTTTCAAAGAGTGCTTCAAAAACTGTCAAAATTGAGATTTTTGAAAAGTTGACACAAAATCCTTAAAAAACTTTGGAATACAGTGACAATTTGAAAAACAGAAACTGTTAATAGTTCCGGTCTAAAATTTTCGAAAATTTGGCCTCAAATTTTGTTTTTTTCGAAAATTATAAATTGTCATTTAATCGCCTCTGGAAAAATTCTTGGAATTTTCGAAAAAATAAAGCCGAAAATAACTTGGAAGAATTCGAAATGTGCAGGTAAATATCTTTAGGTACCTATCTTTTGAAGAGTGCTCACAAAACTGTCAAAAAATTCATACAAGAGGGTATTGAAAAAATTAAATTTTTGAAAAGTTGCCCAAAAATCCTCAAAAAATTCTGGAATATATAAGTAAATTTCGTGGATCTGATTCGAAAAATATACAATTTTAATGATTCCGGACCAAGATTTTCAATTTTTGAAAAACTTTTTTCGAAAATTATAAATTCTCATTTTACGGAAAATTTCTTGGTGTTTTCGAAGAAATGAAGCCGAAAATATGACATCGAAAAATTCGAAGTCTACCAAATGTGTTTTAGTAATTTTCAAAGAGTGCTTCAAAAACTGTCAAAATTGAGATTTTTGAAAAGTTGACACAAAATCCTTAAAAAAACTTTGGAATACATTTACAATTTGAAAAACAGAAACTGCTGGTTCCGGTCTAAAATTTTCGAAAAATTGGCCTAAAATTTTTTTTTCGAAAATTATGTATCATATTATTATCGATTTTGGAAAAAGTGTTGTAATTTTTGAACAAATGAGGGTGACATTAACTTCTACAATTAGTAATCTACAAAAAATATTTTTAGGTAATTTTAGAAGAGTACTCCAAAAACGGTCAAAAAAATCATACGGGAGATTAAACAATGAAAAATTGAGATTTTTAAAAAATTGGCTAAAAATCTTCAATAAGTTTTTGGGATATAGATTTCGATGATCTGACTCCAAAAACAAAAAATGTTAATGGTTCCGGATCAAAACTTTCGAAAATTCGGTGTGAAAAGGGTATTTTTTGTTCGAAAATTGTAAATCGTCATTTTATCGACTCCGGAAAAATTCTTGGAATATTCGAAGGAATGACGTTGAAAGATATTTCAAAGTATTCAAAATCTGCAAGTAAATATCTTTAAGTAATTTCTGAAGAGTGTTCCAAAAATAGTAAAAAATTCTGGGAAATACGAGTTGACTTCAAGAATCTGATTCGAAAAACTTAAGATTTTTGACCAAGATTTCCGAAAATTCGGTCAAACAATTATGAATTTTAATTTTATCGACTCTGGAAAAATTCTTATAATTTTCAAAGAAATAAATAAAGCCGAAAATAACATCGAAGTATTCGAAATCTACAAGTAAAATAAATATCTTTCTAAACTGTCAAAATATTCACACGGGAAGGTGTTGAAAACTGAGATTTTTGAGAAGTTGACACAACATTCTTAAAAAACTTTGAAATGCAGTTTGAATTTGAAAAACAGAAAGTGTTAATGCTTTCGGTCCAAAATTTTCGAAAATTTGCCCTAATTTTCTTTTTCGAAAATTATAAATTTTATTAAGTATTATCGATTTTGGCAAAAAGCCAAAAGTAACTTCTACAGTTCTAAATTTATAAAAATGATATCTCGAGGTAATTTTCGAAAAATTCTTCAAAAACTTAAGAAATTGATCCGGGAAGGCAGTGAAAACTTGAAAGTCTTGAAGAGTTGTCTAAAAATCCTCAAAAAATTCTGGGATATAGATCTCCACGAGCTGATTTGAAAAACATAAAGCGTTAGTGTCTTTCAACCGAATTTTTCGAAAAAGAAGACATTTTTTTTCATTTTATGGATTCTAGAGAAATTACAGGAATTTTTGAAGAAATGAAACCGAAAATAACTTCTAGAAGAAAATGTCTTTAGTAAATTTTTGAAGGATGCTCAAAAAACGGCCAAACAATTCATGCGGGAAGGTATTGAGAAATTGATATTTTTGAAAAGTTTTCAAATAATCTTCAAAAAATTCTGGGATATAGACCTGGACGAACTGATTCGAAAAACATAAAATACAATGGTTCAGGACCAAGATTTTCCAAAGATTGAATCTGAAAATGTTTTTTTTTTCACAAAAAATGCCATTTTCTATTTAATCGATTCTGAAATATTTGTTGAAAATTTCGAAAAATTATAAGATTTGATTTTGTGAATTTAATTTTTCTATGATAACTATCTATCCTGTCTTTTTTGGAAATATATGGCACCTTATTATTGTTAATTTTGGTATTATTATTAAATTTTGCTTATATTTTTTTAATGAAATATACAATTGGGGTACTTGTTGTCCAAAAAGTCGGCAAAAAGTCTTGTTTGTTTTTTAAGTTGTCCAACATCCTGGTTGTCATGCTACTAATTTAAAAATAATGGACGTGAACCCTAAAAAACAAATTTAATATTGTAAATTTTCGAGATGACGTCATCAAATTGTTAGTGGGGCTGTTTAGCCAGTTTGACAATAATCGGTCCAGTAGTTTCTAAAATTATCTGTCAAATAAAAATCCGGAAAAATACGGCAGACACACAGACAGACAGACCTATTTCTGTGTACGCTAGGGGTCATGAATGGTTGAGAAAAAAATTTTGATGGCATTTAGAAACCTTTTAAATTCGGTAGAATTTGTACATAACTAACACAGTTTTCTGACTTTATTCGCGGTTCGGGAGCAAAAGTGAAGCTCTTTGTAAGAAGCGTCTGGAATTCGCAAATTCTAGCGAAATTCTATGCCAACTATTTGGTAATATATGGGTTTGGAAGTTTGGAGAAATGGAACTGTTGCACCCTATTCCTCAACGAAATGTTCTTAATTTAGTGGGAGAAGTCGTTAGTTTGTTAATTCCGCTGACGTTCGAAATGAATTAAATGCAAACTTTATGTGAATGAGTTTGCAGCAAGAGGCAAAATGACTTTCGGCTTATTTTTCGCGCGTTTCTCATGAATGGTTATTGGTTTCAGGCACCGTGGAACATCCCACCGACCACCCCGTCTTCAGATAATGTGTTTAAGTTAGCGTTAACATTATAAGGTGTTAGAATGGATACCCGCCGCCACCTCCTCCCCCTGGTTTGCTGCCTATTCACGGGTGAGTTCGTTTCCACGCTTTGTCCGTTTTTCCTTCTATTAAATTTTTCAACGTTTTCCACATTCGGAGAGATGGATAAATTATGAGCTTGTTGCGTCAGTTCAGCGACACTTTGGAAATATAAACACTTTGTACATGTTTGGAAACTTGAACAAGACATTTAATTTATAGTGGAAATATTAGTCGAGAGCTTCAAAGGATATACAAACACTTGACGAAACAATTAATTGCCTTACGTCAAATCTTAAGTCATAAGCTCACGGCGCTTAACTCCGTGACGTTGAAAAGCTCATTTTTATGAAAATCATTTTTCATGATTTCCGTGCGCACGAATTGCGAGTTCGCTTCGGTGTGTGAATATTGCATATTTATTTTATGACTTGAATAAATTGAGTCTTCATGTGTACTTAATGGCCGCGGTTTTCGTATTAGCGCAAAACAAGAATGACATTCGCTGAAATTTAAGTTGAGCAAACCATGAATATTTATAGCATTAAAACACCCACATTTCTCTTTTTAATCATTGAACCGCAAACGAATTTAATATAATTGAGGGGGAATTCACCTCTCGTATTTTCGGCGCAAGGGTCTTTTAAGTTAGAATTTCGCGTTACGATTTAACTAAAAATACCCGATGTCGAAACATCATAGACGAGTTTTAAATATTGCATTTTTGCAAACACCGAATTCGTTTATTTTTCTGTTATGCACGGGTGAATTCGTAGAGTACACAAACGTTTACAGTTTTTGGAGCGCAGTGCAACTGTTTTATGCAAAACATAGCGCTAGCTCGATATTGCGAATGTTTCAAATACCGACAGAATTATGCTGGTTTAGTAAATTTTGATAAAGTAGAGACATATTTCATTTATTGCATAAATTGACAAAAATTTATGCAAATTTAATCAAGTCTGGAAATTGTTTAACTGGGAAGTTCTAGAGACTTATATGGCCGCAATGTGGTATAAAATTCCATTTGTCTAGGTTTCCTTGTTTGTTTGTAGTGTACTGAAGTGCTAATTTTGTTTCCTCGCCTCTAAACTTGCGCGATTTAACATGTTGCGTCACACGAAAAGGAAAATGGGAATGTGTTTCGCGGTTTGTCAACCAAATTGGCCTCTTCTCTGAGAGAAATACTAAACTAAAACTAAATCTAAAAAGTGACAATTAGCTGCCACTTATCGCTCTTACTGTCTCTGTTCACCATAAAAAAAAACATACAAGGAGTAGGACCATCATCTGCGTTAAACACTCTATCTGTATTATTAAATGCCGAGTAGCAATTTTTTTGTCAGGTTAGGAGCATATTCAAAATTTTACTATTTGAAATACCGAATCTGAGATTTTTCTTCAAAACTGTTGTTGATTTTCTAGTATTCTAATATACAGGGTGAGTCAATAAGCGCGCGGTTTTCAAGGTCTCATTAATTGTAAATATTAAAGATCAAAAAAAGTTAAAGGCTCAAGTTAAACTACTCTTTGAGTAGCATACATAAAAATTATGCTCGACTATAATACAGAGTGGTTTGATTTCAAGACATAGCACAAAGTTTCGTTTTTGAAATATAATGCCCTATTTTTATATTTTCTCATTAGCTAGATTTTATAACTGTCTCCACATTATTATTTCAATTGTCTTGAATTTTTTATCAGTTCAAGTGTTCACAAAAAATCGCAATGATATTATTTTTAAGATCTATGTTACAATATTTTATGGAGAGATAAATAAAGGTAAACGCCTTGTTGCAGTATTGATTAAATATAATTTTAATATACAGGATGTTTATAAAAAAGGTTTGAAATATTACAATTTCAAATATTTCAGTTTTTCAAAGAGAACACCCTATATTTTATTACTGCATCTTACTCAATTGTTTGCTCTTTTTTTTTCAATATGTTGGTGTCTCTTTTCATATAAAATAAAGAACAAAAAACAGAAAAAAATGCATTCACAAAATACAGGGTGTTCTATTTAAAAAAATAGATATATCGATATTTGAACATTGCAAATATTGCAATAATTAAACAGATTTTTATAAACACTCTGCATAATAAGACTCACAACAAAGCGCGTATATTTATTTATCTCTCTGCAAAGTATTTGATTACACATTTTAAAAATAATTCTATGGCGACTTTTTTGGCAAATTCTTCCATTGCTGAAAAATTGGAACTTCAAACATAAATTTTGATTGTAAATTCTAAAAGACGTCAATTTTAATATGTCAATATAATGTTGCATTTGAAAAAATCAAGCTATATGTTGCGTCTTAAAAACAGAACACTCCGTATAGTTGGACGAGTGTTTCATGGCCCCTAGAGAACGAAAAAAGTATTCTCCCGTTTGCAGAAACAGTGCACAGTATAATGACAATTTACCATTATCGTAAGGCATCCCGGTCCTGGTCTAGTGGTTACGCGTCAGGAATGCGGACCAAATGTCGCGTGTTCGATTCCAAACTTGGCCTTTGGTTCTTTTTATCTTTTCCTTTCGCATTGTGTATTATGATGTCATAACAAACTTGTTATTGATGAAATTAGTTCACTTTCTTGAAACTGTGACAATACAACCCTGTTTATTTAAAAATGTAAAATCTTCTCGGGGGGCCAAATGTGTTTTTTTTTATGTGAAACCCTCTCGGAGGTCCCAAACGTATATTTACAGAATGTGAAATCTTTTCGGGGGTCCCAATTTCCTTTTTTAATTAAAAATGTAAAACCTTCTCGTGAACGCCAAATGATATTTTTAATGTGAAACCCTCGCGAGGGTCCCAATTTTCTTTTTTAAAAATGTAAAACGTTCTCGTGGATGCCAAATGTTTTTTAAGTGTGAAACCTTCCCAGACGTCCCAATTTTTTTTTAATGTAAAGTCTTCTCGTGGATGCCAAATGTTTTTTTTTTTTAATGTGAAATCTTCTCAGGGATCCCAATTTTTTTTTAATGTAAAACATTCTCGTGGACGCCAAATGTTTTTTTTTTATGTGAAACCTTCTCGGGGGTCTCAACTATCTGTTCTAAAAATGTAAAACCTTCCCGGGGGCCCCAAATATTTTTTCTTTTTAATGTGAAACCTTCTCAAGTGTCCCAACTGTCTCTTTAAAAAATGTAAAACCTTCTCGGGGGTCCCAAATGTCTTTTTGTAAGAATGTGAAACCTTTTCGGAGGTCCCAAATGTCTTTTTTTATGTGAAACCTTCACGGGGGTCCCAACTGTCTTCTTTAAAAATGTAAAACGTCCTCGGGAGCGCCAAATATCTTTTTTTACGTGAAATCTTCTCGGGGGTCTCAACGGTCTTTTTTTAAAACGTAAAACCTCGGGGAACCCAAATGTATTGTTTTTGAAATCTGAAACCTCCGGGGTTACAAATGTCTTTTTTAAAAATGTAAAACCTTCTCGAAGGCCCCAAATGTATTTTCTTTAGAATTTGCAACCTTCTTGGGTGTCCCAACTGTCTATTTTAGAAATGTTAAACCTTCTCAATGGTCCCAAATGATTTTTCTTTTAATGTCAAACCTTCTCGGGGGTCCCAACTGTCTATTTTAAGAATGTGAACCTTCTCGGGTGTCCCAACTGTCTATTTTAGAAATGTAAAACCTTCTCAATGGTCCCAAATATTTTTTTTTAATGTGAAACCTTCTCGGGGGTCCCAACTGTCTATTTTAGAAATGTAAAACCTTCTCAATGACCCCAAATGTTTTTTTTAATGTGAAACTTTCTCGGGGGTCCCAACCCTGTTTTTTTAAAAATGTAAAACCTTCTCGGGAGCGCCAAATGTCTTTTTTTACGTGAAATCTTCTCGGGGGTCTCAATGATCTCTTTTTAAAACGTAAAACCTTCTCGGGGACCCTAAATGTATTGTTTTTTAAATCTGAAACCTCCGGGGTTACAAATGTTTTACTTTTAAATGTGAAACCTTCTCGAGGGCCCCAAATGTATTTTGTTTAGAGTGTGCAACCTTCTCGGGGGTCCCAACTGTCTATTTTAAAAATGTAAAATCTTCTCAGGGGCCCCAAATGTATATTTTAAGAATATGAAACCTTCTCGGGGGTCCCAATTGTCTTTATTAAAAATCTAAAACCTTCTCGTGGACGCCAAATGTTTTTTTTTTAACGTGAAACCTTCTCGGGCGTCCCGACTGTCTATTTTAGAAATGTAAAACCTTCTCAATTGTCCCAAATTATTTTTTTTATGTAAAACCTTCTCAGGGGCCCCAAATGGCTTTTTTTTAATGAGAAACCTTTTCGGTGGTCTCAACTGTCTTTTTTAAAAATGTAAAACCTTTTCGGGAGTACCAACTGTTTTTTTTAAGAATTTGAAACCTTCTCCGGGGTCCCAACTGGCTATTTTAAAAATGGAAAGCCTTCTCGGGGGTTCCAGCTGTCTTATTTAAAATTATAAAACCTTGTCGGGGACTCCAAATATATTTGTTGAAAAAAGTCAACCCGTCTCGGAGGTTCAACTCTCTTTTTACTTCCCGAGCGTAAGCAAAGGAAGTATTGTAATCGAGTCCGTCGGCCGACTCTCTACTTTTACGTTTTCTCGATCTTTCATGACCCCTAGAAGACGAAGAAATAGGTCTCCCATTTCCGTCTGTCTGTCCGTCCGTCTGTCCGTCTGTTGTCCCGGATTTTTATTAGACAGATAATCTCCGAAAGTACTCGACCGATTGTTGTGAAATTTTGTACTTATATTAAGAATATCATGTAGATGGTAAAACGCTAATCAAAATTTGTCTAATCATCCCCACCACTAATGCGATGACGTCATTTCAAAATTGTACATAGTAAATGGGTTTTCAATTGTATAAAGTAACATAGTCCTACACATGTAGTTTACAACTCTGAATCGACTTTTCACCCGAAACGTCCAGATTTTTGGAAAAAAAATCAAAATTATAAAACAACATTTTGAAATTTAATTTTTAATCTGCTAACCAGAATGCTTTGAAATGTTGCAGATGTTTTAAGGCTATAAAGAGCATCATAAATCTTTAGTCAAA